TGTAAGGAACAAAATATAATTGACCAATGCAAAACACTCCCCAGTAATAACACTTTGCAGTTGTATAAAAGTTCTCAGTGGCAAACAGTTAATACCGATTTATCCAGCTGAAGAAAAAGTTCACACAGGCTGACTTGAGAACCAGGATTTCACCCCAGTTTGCTTAGTCACAGGAGAGAAAAGGCCAGTGGCAAAAATCAAGATCAGAGCTCAGCAGCCCTCCCTTCTGTAGTCCTGATCTAATGACTACGATGCAGTGGTTGCCCTCTAGGTTTTGGAAAGGGCAGAAAGAAAAAAAGAAAAGAAAAAAAAAGAGAAAGAAAATAGAAAATTGGGGGGAAAAAAAGCACTGAACTAATTATCATACATTTATTCACAAAAGTCAAGATTAAAATAGTGTGTTAAAGGATTTGAATGCAAATAGCATATGCTCTGTCCTGATCTCTCCTAACAGAGTGCAGCACTCTGGCAACACAGATAACCCCAAATGTCGCACAGCACAGGAGAGCCTGACAGAGAGCACCAGTCTCTCGGTGAAGCTTTAAAGAAGGTTAAAACACCACAGAGCTAGGAAAGAAGGTCATTTTGTTGCTGTTATGGCTGTTTTAAAAACATCTCCACACACACTATTTATCATACCCTGTATTGCCTAGAGGTGGACCCAAGTCTGACACTGTGCCTCCATTATACTTAGAACTAAGGCATGTGAAACTGGAACCCACTGTTTCTAGTCCGAGTCCACCTCTGGTGTTCACAGCAATGCTGTCATCTAATCATCAAGTACTTAACAAAGTAAATACAAATCATTTTGCTTTGTGCACAAACAGGTAAGACAGGATGATTACTCAGGTAAGGCAAGTTATTTGCATTCTGGGTTTTGAATTGGATGGGACAAAGTCTCGCACAATTAGACAAGACCTGAGAGTTATTAAGTGGTAGAGAGATGCATCTCAAACCAGTCTGGGTGCAAGTACTGCAATTATCCAGCTTTCTAGAGCCTTTGTAGGCTATGCTGGTGGCCAGTAACTCAGAAACTAGACTTCCCTTGTTGCCACATGCAAGACTTCTGCAGCAGCTCTTTGAACATAGCAGTTTCCTCGTGATGGGCACTTGAATGAAGCATCTGTAGCACAAGCTCAGGACTTCTTTGGATGGTCTTTTGAAGTGAAGATAAGAGCTATCCTTAACTGTGTGCATCTTGGGCATTTCAGTGTGAAGGACAGTGCCTCATCTCCACCTTCTTTGGGACAAGGAATGATGTTTCATGTTTCCTTTATCAAGCTACCCGATCTACTGGGGAAGCTTCCTCTTTGCAAGCTTCCCCTCAGATGGCACAGTTCAGGTACAGCACTCCCATGCACTCACATCTCTGCTTTTCCTCCACCCCTTGCAGGTTACGACTTTGCCGCTGTACTGGAGTGGTTTGCAGAGCGGGTTGACCGCATTATTCTCCTCTTTGATGCACACAAGCTAGACATCTCTGATGAATTCTCTGAGGTCATCAAGGCCCTGAAGAACCACGAGGACAAGATGAGAGTTGTTCTCAACAAGGCTGACCAGATAGAGACTCAGCAGCTGATGCGGGTGTACGGTGCCCTCATGTGGTCCCTGGGAAAGATCGTCAACACTCCTGAGGTCATCAGGGTCTACATCGGCTCCTTCTGGTCCCATCCGTTGCTCATCCCTGACAACCGCAAGTTGTTTGAGGCGGAGGAGCAGGACCTGTTCAGGGATATCCAGAGCCTGCCCCGCAATGCAGCCCTGAGGAAGCTGAATGATCTCATCAAGCGAGCACGGCTGGCCAAGGTGGGTGTTGCCATAGAACCCCCCAAGCATTCAGTTTGGGCTATCTGCAGTATGCAGGCTATGGGGAAGTGGTTTTGGCCAGTTTGGCTTGCAGAGCTGGTGGATCCTACTGTTTTTTCCATCCCATTTCACTCAGGCCCAGCATATTAGTCGTGTGCACTTCAAGGAAGAAAGCACCTCCTTTGCTTGGTGCATCAATCATGACAGGCCAGAGTGAGGAAGGTAGCCACAGATCAAAGCAGGTAGCACTCAAAGGGATCTGGAAGGCAGTTGCTCTGTGGTAGCAACTTGAGAATTAGGACTGATTCAGAATGTCAGAATCACACACCAAGGGAATTAGTAAGCCCTAGGTCTTTTGCCTTAAATGTTCTTAGCTAAGAGAGATACCTGGCTAAGGTGGATGCAGAGGAGGTGGAAACTCACAAGAATGGCAAATAAGCCTGCCGTATCTCTGAATATTTGAAATGGGCTGAAGGAAGCCCCTCAGAATACAGGGTAGAACCCCATATCAATTGAGAAAAAGAGACCAGAAGATCCCTAAAAAGCTTTCTGTGCAAGGGTGTTAATTTCTAAGAGAAAACACTTGATTCCCCATTAAAAAAAAAAGCCAGAATGTCTCATAAGTTAAAGACTGGTATTCATACTAAAACATTAAACCAAGTCTAGAGTGCTCCAAAACCTGTGTGTTCGTTTTGGACTGGAAAGGGACTATTCCCTGGAAGGCCATGCCTAGTGGAAGGGGAAAAAAAAAACAACCACCCACCACTTCCTCTAGGAAGTGCATATGAATCTCTGGATGCCCAGGACTCAACACTCTCTTCACCTTGTGTCAGCACAGCCAGAGCGCACAGCTGAGTGGCACTTAGCACTGGAGCAATAATCTGCAGGTATGGGCAAGCTGGGGAGCTGAGCTTGCTCTTCAGGGTGGGACAAGATGGGGTTCAGTCCTGGGCACAGGGAAGAATTTTCTCATGTGATCTTTAACACTTGTCTTCCTCATTCCATATTATTTAATGCCCTTCAGGTCCATGCCTACATCATCAGTTCCCTAAAGAAGGAAATGCCCTCAATGTTTGGGAAAGACAATAAAAAGAAAGAGCTTGTTAACAACTTGGGAGAGATTTATGCCCGGATTGAACGGGAGCATCAGATCTCACCAGGAGACTTTCCTAATCTGAGAAAGATGCAGGTAAGCAGTGGCATCTTGGCTGGAGCACCAAACACCCGTGGAAAGAGCATTACAGTAACCGCAGGGAATACGGCAAAAGCCATGCAGACATTAGTGGTTGTTGTTTGTGGGAAAGGCCTGTTGTAATGTTGAAATGGGCCTTGAAATATGCACATGCTATATTTGGGCATGAACACTTTTTGCCCATAGAGCTCACGTGAAGCTACAGCTGCCTTCATTTCTCAAATCTTTGCCCGAATAGCACTTTACAGCAAATCATTTCTTCTATTTTTCTTTATTTTTAATTCCAGGTTCCATTTGCAGATTTTTCAGGCCTAAGAATACTGCTAATTTATATTGAAAGGAAAGCTATATCCTGAAAAGCCTGCATATGCCCCTCTCCTCAAGAGCTGTATTTTTTTGTCTTCTACTTCAGTCTGTTTCTAGAAAGAGAGAACGGAGGCTATGAAGACTTAAAGCCCCTTTTCTATTTTAAGCAGAGAAGCAGGTTTTCTGTTCTGCAGAGCTGAGACCTGACCCAGTGTTCATGTAAGTCAAAGACTTCAAAGAACCTTGGATCAGAGCCTTGTATTGTATATTCAAACAATGCTGGACACTGCTACATTGCTGCGTGGCTTTAGTCCAAGCAGAAACCTGTTCCGAGTTGCTAGCTGTTGAAGTCATTACTGGCTCTGTATGGAAGACATAGCATCTGCTTTTTTTTTTTAAAAGTATATTTTCCATAAGTTTTTGGGAATGAGATCTATGGAGTGTATCCAATAGAAGATCCCATTAACTGCTTGTTAAAATGTGTGTTTAAGTTTTTAACAATAGCTATACCAATCCAGTTGGAGCGGATAGTGTGGATTTAACGAGTAGAGGGTGAAGGATAAAGCTGTAGGTTGTTTTGCAGTTTTTAGAAGAGTTATCTGCAGGCCCTGCTCAAAGCACTTTTGTTTAGCTGTGAAAATTACAGAAACTGAGCCATGCTCTAAAGACATGCCCACCTCTTTACAGACATGCTACTGTCTTTATGGCATCTGAAAGATGCACTGTATGATGAGGAGTAAAATAGTCTTTTGCCAGAGTGTCATCTCCTTTCTAGAGTGCAGAGGGGAAGGAGGGAATGCAGAGCACTGGCTTGAGGATGTAGCAAGAACTGCACAACCAGTTTGCCTTGAACAATTTGGTCTTCAAGGAGATTGCTTCTGTGTGGCTTGGAAGGTTTGAGTAAACCACTTCCCCTCTCTGTATCATGTCAGCACCCCTTTGTAAGCTGAAAAGACAATTTTCTGTAGGGCTTAAAGAGGATTTAAGTAAGAGCAAGGCCAGCAAGGGACACCTCATCACATGCTGAGGAGCAGGGCTAGCAGAGGAGGGAATGCTGAGCTTCCCACTCCTCCTCACCAATAGCAGGTTTTTGAGCCAAAGAGCAGACAGGCACCCCTCTCTACGCTGCTACTGCACTGTGCACAGCCATGATGGTCACTTCTTGCTATGTTGTTCCACTTTAAGGATCAGTTGCAAGCCCAGGATTTTAGCAAGTTCCAGCCTCTGAAGAGCAAGCTGTTGGAGACTGTGGAAGACATGTTGGCCAACGACATCGCCCAGCTCATGGTGCTCGTACGCCAGGAAGAGTCACAGCGGCCAACCCAGATGGTGAAGGGAGGAGCCTTTGAGGGCACCTTGCATGGTCCATTTGGCCATGGCTATGGTGAAGGCGCTGGTGAAGGGATCGATGATGCTGAGTGGGTGGTAGCCAGGGACAAGCCCATGTATGATGAGATCTTCTACACACTCTCGCCTGTCGATGGTAAAATAACTGGTGCCAATGCAAAGAAGGAAATGGTAAGGTCTAAGCTGCCCAACACGGTGCTGGGCAAGATATGGAAACTGGCTGACATCGACAAAGATGGCATGCTGGATGATGAGGAGTTTGCCTTGGCGAATCATCTCATTAAAGTCAAGTTGGAGGGTCATGAGCTGCCAAATGAGCTCCCTTCCCATCTCCTCCCTCCATCCAAAAGGAAAGTAACAGAATGAAAGGAAGGTTACAGGGGAGAGGGAAAGGGAAGGGGGAAAAAAGATCTAGAAAAACATGTTTACTTAAATTATACCTTTAGATGTGAGATCACCTTTGGATTTATACCTATTTTGCTGTATGGAGGAAAAACTAAAGCAGAACAAAAAAGTCCAATCCTTCTTCATGATAATATGCAATTAACTCTTCCAGTGTAACATCCCTGCTTTCTAATGTGTAGTCTGTAAATATGAAGGTAAAAAAAGGATGTTGAGACTAGGAGAATCTGATGAGCAGGAGGAGAGGAAAAACTGAAATGGGCTGCATTTTTTGAGTGGAATAGGCACTAATAGAAATCTGCTAACTGCCAGTATCACTCCTGAGCTTCGGCTGCACCTTCTGCTGTTCAGTGAGTCTCACAAACTTGAGGAGACTGGGATCTTGATAGTGAAGCGGAAACTGAAAGGTCTCCAAGGTATTGGCCAAACTAAAGAGCACTTGCTAATTAACATAAGCCCACGCTAAAATACTAGATACTAAACCCCAGAGTTAAGAATTTTAGGAACCTTGATTCACTGTTAGATGCAAATTTTACGAGCGTTTCCCTGTCCTTAAAGAAAAATAAATAAAATTTGAAACAGCTCTAAACTGGGCAGCTGGAGTTCCTCATTGTTCACTGTGGGACAGGCACTAAGAACTCCCAATCATTGCTACCTCCCATTCAGTCCCCAGGGGAGATTTGTTCTGCAGGCATGGCCAAGCGAACCACCC